AAATTGGGAGTCCTGACTTGGATATCTACCTCCGATACAGTATTCCTTTGTAAGTTTCTGGAGGAGAACCACTAAGACTTTTTCTGTTAATCCACGGGATGCCCAACAAAGGCTAAGATGTGAGCAACACAGAGATTTATCTTTTAACAAAATGTAGGGAGATGTCTAGTAGCAAGTACTGTTTATATTACAGCTACACATATATATATATATATACACACACATATTTATGTATCTATATATCTAAATTACCTGGAGAAAAGACTGATGCATGCATCTTTGACTAGGTGCATTTCCATTGCTACTTGAATTCTAACAGCTCTGAGATCACTAATATTTCTACTCCTGAAATAGTCTATTACTTCCAATAGTCATTTCTTGAAAGTGTCAACAGAACGTATGTACTCCACTCACCCTAACGTCTGCCCAAGAAAAGAGGTGGTCTTATTTTCTGTTTCTAGGATTGTAATTACATTAACTGAAGATAATTACATTAGAGAGAAATTATTTGTTGAGATAACATGATGCTATCATGACATCATCATAATGTTACCTTTTTGTTTCACAAAAGGATTTTTCTTCTGAATTCTGGTTATTCCTATACACCTTTTCTGATTAATGTCCTAGGATGCATAAGGGTCATACTTGAATTTAGTCACTCAACCAGTAGCTGGGAGTTCCATTAAAAGCTACCCACAGAAGGTCGCATGCTAAGGAATGAAGGGACTGAGGGCTCCTGAAGTTACATAGGAAAAAGAAGCCAAATTACTTTTATTGCTATCTTGGCACTAAGAAGAAACTAGTAGAGATTCATTTTCAGATTCTGTTGGTGATCTTCTTTTTATGATCTTAAGCAAATTTCTTTATTTTTTATGAATTCAGTTCCTGCTTTTACACTGTGCTTGTCAAGAGTTTACACACATAGTTCAACATCACTTACCATATGGGAACCTTCCAGTGGCTTCCATATGATTACTTTATATGAGGAAATCTATGTGAAGAAATTTATATGAAAAATAGTATGAATACATAATTAAATCTTTCTTACTTCCACTAGTGTAAAAACAGCAAGTGCATTTGGGGGAAAAAAAATCAACACACCTTTTAGCATTGAAGATCTGATTAACAGGAAAGGTCTGGTGAAAGATAAAGAACCACTGTCATTTTGAAATCGCTTCAAAGAGATTAAATAAAGCAGTAAAGCAGTTCCACAAGGTATTAACATTGCCATTAGTTATTGCTAAGAGTACAACAAACATTCTGTGAAGTGTTTAATTTCTTCGTATATCAGATAACATTCATTACCACTGTAAACTGAAATCAATTTTCCACATGCATTCACTGATTTTTGTATGTTGCTGAATAAAGGTGATACTGTCTAATCAAAACTAGACAAATCTTCTCAAGCCTTTGAAATGGCTTTCCTGGTCTTGTGCGACGAGATGCACCACCATCCTAGAGAGACAGATGAAGTGTAATCACTTAGTGGAACTTTTGTCTTTAGTCCCCTGAAATAGGAAAAGATATCTAAAAATCCCCATGCCGTAGTTTTTATCTGTAACCACTGCTAAGCTGTTATGTCCAGCAAAAAGGCACATTTTTGGCACATGGAGGATAGACTATGTCTTGCTATGTCTCTAAAGACATGTTTGAGTCTCAGTTTAGGTTGGTGCTAGCAATTAATTGCAGCTTTTAAGTACTCATTGCTCACGCTAAAGACTGGAGGGCCAAGCTCTCATATTGGAGATGCATGGGAATAAATAAGCCACTGGGTATTGAAACCAGTCTGTTTTACTGTGAAGACTTGCTATATTACCTACATTCGCATAAACCACTGTGTTTTGTTGTTTGGGGTTTTTTTTGTTGTGTTTTTTGTTGTTTTTGTTGTTCTTTGCTTATTTTGGGTTTCTTTGTTTTTTTAATTGGATTTTCCCAATGCTTATTCTTTTTGGAATATTTATCTTCATAATGTCATTGCAGCTCAGGATAAGGGCATATTTGTAGGTATCATAAAGATATTTCAGTCACTAATCCTTTGTTCGTAAGAATTCTGCTTGAATTACTTATCTGCAATGTTTTACTACCATGGGCCAAACCTACAAGAGGATGCAAATTATTAAAGTTTGGTAAGTTTAACTGATGTGAATTGATAGACTTCTACCAACTTCAGAGGAAGAGCAACAGAAGCTCTGACCCTGAATAAAACCCTTGATCCTACTTCTTTTGTTTGTTTTGGTTGTAAAAGTAGGGATTTTTTTTACATATCTACATTACTTGTGACAAGCTGATGAACATATCTGAAAATAAATCAACCTCTCTTACTGCATTGTTGGTCTTGATGTGTTTTTCTTTCTTTAGACTTTGTTTTCTAGTGGTGGTGGTGTTTGGTGAGTGTTAGGTGATGTTCAAGTTGTTATGATTAATACTTCTGAGTGTGACAGGTTAAAGCTCACAGTATTCATTGAGTACATTTGTACTTGTCAAATTCTTCTAAAATGAACAGTCCTAGCAGGAGGTAGTATTTTGTAAGGGCATTTTATGTTCTGGAAAAAATGTCAGCAGGGGGTTATTATAGTTGTTAAAATAGCATATTTAGGTTAGTTTTGATGCAATTATTCTGAAGATTTCTTCTCATTTTAAATGCTGATGTGAATGTGAAATGGAGGACAAGTTTGTCTTAAAAGTTTCCCCCTTCTAAGTGTACACTTTAATTCTGAAGAGAAATCAAGCATAGCTTGAAAATAAAGCGGAAACAGTAACACTGGGAATGAAGCACCCCAACTAGTCTTTGAAAAAGGACTGTTAATAGAATACAAAAATTGTCCATTGTAAGCTTCCCTAAAAACTGTGTGTTGAATTAAACCCTGTATTTCCCATTATAAAGAAACAAGTAGTTACTGTACAAGTCAATTAATAGTGAAAACATACTTCCTACACTATTGTGCTTTAGAAAGCTAAACATAAATACAAGACCTCTCTTATTCTGTCTTTGTAAGCTCTATTTAGGAGTGCTTGGAGAACAGAGAACTGGCTGGGGCATTAAACAAAGCAGGAATGGGAACTTCAAGCTGGGGAAAACAGCACTGTACTGATCCATGCAAATGAAAGCTTCATTGTCTGAAGTCCCCTCTTCTATTTTATGGGTCATTTACAGTAATGTATAAATTACTGATCATTTCTTCAATATTTAAAGCCAGTAATGCTAGCAAGATGGGCCTTTAATTTCTTTCCTCACTTGTGGCTATCATGATTACTTCCATCAAAGTTTTGCTCTTTTTTTTTTTTTTTAATATTTCTCTAGAAACCTCTTGATCTCATTGCATTAGTTGTCTCCCTCCTTTGGTTAAATTCTTCATATTCCTATCTGACACTGATTTGTTCCTCTGGTTCAGTGTGTAGTCAAGAGAGTAATTTATTCATCTTCAGTAGCACCACTGAAATCACAGAAGTACTTGATGCCCTGATTTATTGAGGCACTTGAGGTCAGTGCCTTAAGCATGTACTAAAAATGAATCAAATGCCAGCATGACCTCCAGAGGATTAGTCACCTGCATAATGGTTTGCAGGGTCCTTAAAAATATGAACTCATGGAACAGATTTGCTACTGGTGTAAGGTTAGTGCAGCAATACTGAAAGCAAAATGACGTTGACCGTGCTTTCAGTAGAATTATGGCACATCTATGCTAAGCCTTCCCCTTTTCTTGTCTTGTGCCATGCTGATAGGATATGCCAAAAGTAAAAGTGATAAAAAGGCTTCCAACATTTTTAATTGCTTATACATCATTTAGTGTTCAATAGGACTATCTGCATCATAATAAGAACTTATATTGTTACAGCAAGTTTGGGGTTTTTTTTTTCATTTGATTTTGTAGGGTCATATTGTCATGCTCTTTCTTATTTGCTTGATAGTAGGGTGTCTGTGGTGTCACTGCTGCCTCTCTGCTAATGAGCGTAGGACTTGCAAATTGGATGAGACAAAACTTAGATACTCTAGTTTTGCAGGTTAAAGTATTTCTCCTGCCATAGATGAAGATTGTGTTTTGTGTTAGGAAACTGTGGAGGAAATGAGAATTCATGTTTCCTTACTGAGTCTGAAAATCTTCCTCATTGTTACTCTTTATTCCTTTTCCTAAAGAAAAAATGAGTTCTGTATAGGGATGTTTCTTTCTTTATGGTTGTCTTTTTCATTATAAGAGGTGCCTCTCAAAGTCATGCAAAATATTTTCATTAGGAGAATATTTTTTCAAGTTAAAGATCTACTGCAAATGTTTCATTCTGCATGAATTCACAGTACTTATTGTGAATCTTTTTACATTTAAAACTATAAAGTTATTTCCAATGTATAGGAATAATTTTTAGGACAGATTACAGACTTTTCTGTAATGCTTTTTGCAGATACTTAAAACATTCTCTTTGTAATTTTTTTCTGTTTTAGGGGCAGCATTACTGCATCTTAGAAATAATGCCTGTAATAAGGTATTTTACCTGAAAGCCCATTGTAGCTTTCTTATTATTAGTTTCAAGTTTCAGCAACAATAAAACTGTTCTTACTCAAATGTATACTATTGCATTCATTCCTCTAATAGCATCATTCCACCATATCTACTAAAAAATAGATAAACAATTGTGCAGAGTAATTGTTATTCGTCCTTGATGTTTTTATTTTGTTGTTAGATATCAGACTTAGGAATAGTTGTATTGAGTATTTGCATCAAATACAGAAAGAAAAAAGTTTTTTCCTCTGAGTATACATGTGCTTTCTATCCATGTTTCCTTGGGATATAAAATGTTACTGGTTTAGTTCCATTGGTCATTTTTATTGCCTTCCTGAAGACAATGGAAATTGCACAAGGCTCCAAATAATAGCATCTCCAAGTGTAAATTAAATCGATGGTATAGTCTTTTGCAAGTAGAGAAGAATGTACTCTTATATAATAAATCTTTCTCTGTGTGTGTGTGTGTGTGTATATCAACAAGATGTCTATTTTTTTTCTTCCTAGATACACCTTTAGTTAAAATCATTTCTTCCAATTCATGGCCTGAAGAAGGACAATCTATAATTTTGACTTGTGAATCCAAAGGAAAACCAGTGTAAGTGATTTAACAAGTAATATGCTTTTGTTATTTTCTTTACTCTGCTGTGATTGCAATCTTCCGCTGCAGAAATCTGCTGGTTTTGTTTCATCCTGGGGTGTAAAGTAATCTCTGGTATAGAAAACCCCTTGAAGCCTGTCTTCATTAAGTGTCTGTAGAGGACTGGTCTTTTACTTTGTCATCTATTTTAGTTTTCAGGAAGAATTCCAGCTGTGAGATTATTTTTTTTTTCAGTCAGTTATATCAACCTGAAAGGAGCGCAGGCTTAATCAGTCACTGTTTGCATCTTTGAACTGATGATAGAAGAGAAAAACGTCTCATGAAAATCTTTCTACATCAACTAGCCTTAGAGAGAATATATTGAGCTTTCTGGATGCTTTGGCTGTCATTTAGAGGGGAATTTGAAGTTTAATGATATGTGCAAGCTGGCTGCCTGCTTCAACCTGAATTGCAGAAAAATGTTACCTGCTTTAAGAATCAAAATCCTTTTACATGGAAATTAACATCTCTGCCATAAGTATTTTTTAAAGGCAGAACTGCAGAGATTACCTCTTGCACAGAATCTGCTATGCAAATAGGCTTCATACTCTAAAACATACCTTCTCAGATGAGCTGTTACATATTTATCCATAAAATACATGAATAATCCAATTACTTAATATTAAGTTAATATGAATCAAGTTTCTTAAATATTGACCTTTCTGCTCAAAAACGTTATATGGAGTGGTGTTACACAGCTTTAGAATGGTCTTGAAAGTGATGGTGCAGTAGTATTTTGGTTCCAGAAAAAAGCTAGAAATTATGTCATTTAGGGCAGAATTTCTCCCTGGTGTAACTTTATGGTGGACTTTATGGAATTGCTTAATATAGTAATCTGAAGCGGAATTTAGGTCAAGTCATTGAAGTCCAAAATTACTATTTTGAAAACCTCTTCTGAGTTTAGTCTGGCATCATTTAAACTCCATAAGTACTTCTGGGTTTTTTTTTATATTACATGCCTGTATCGTTTGAAAGCAGCTCCTCCACCCAAATCCTGACTGCACTGAGCAACTCAGCATCTAGACCATGCTTCTACCCTGCTTGAGACCAGAACCCTGGGGGTCTGTTCAATTAGTCTTACATGGTGCTCAGTGCAATTCATTTCTGTGTACCTGTGTACTTTTGAAGCAATATATGTTTCTGAGACAGATGCTTCTGTAGCTAACACACAAAAATCAGTTGCAAGCCATGTCTTGCTTTTATAATATACTTAAAGGAGAAGAAATTACCCTTTACTTAACAGCCTTGGAGCATTCTTCTAGGTATCACAAGGTACAGAGACTGTTTCCCCATTACTTTCAAACTCAGCAGAAGATGTGCAAGTGCTTAATTTTAGGATTGCACTGTTGGCTAGGTGATATATAGGATTTTCGCAACCTCAGTGTTTTCCTCTTGGTTTAACAAGTGACAGCTACATGCCAAGTGCTCATTTTTGCAGACAGACTTCAGACATCCTAGCTCCAGGTGCTTGATTTGCACTATTCATCTAACATTCACTGTAGGGATAAAGATTAGAAATAAGGTAGTCATTATGTATTTTTATATTTGTAATTAGCTGTTATGGGGGGGGCAGTTTGGCCCTTCACATTTGGGGCCTTTAAATAATAAAAAAGTTTGGAGGTTATGGGTTGATTTCTTTTTTTTTATCCTTTTTAGTTTTGTGAACTGGATGATTTGATAGATGGATGTAATCAGTATGTGGGGGGGAAGGACAAATGTGCGTATAATACCAACCAGGGGTTCTAGTCCTTCCGTGATTTCACCTGCCTGTGAGTATTTACAAGGAGGCATGATGCTTTTCAGTTTCTGGGTGTATGGGAATCATTTCAACTGTCTTTAAACGTATGCAGAGTAGATCCTTAGATCTGAGCTGCTCACTTGGGCTGCCCTTTGCCTTCAGTGAGGTGATTTAGGCACTATTATGATGTCTCTGGTTAACTACAATAGGCAACTGAAGAAGAAAGAGCCAGACTGGACCATAACTACATGATGTTTAGACAGTTAATTCAGTCAGATATCTGCCTCTACATTTTGGGATACCAAATATAGATGACTAAATACATACATTTATATAAAATTTTATATCTATGTTTAAATTTGGTCAGATGCATTTTCCTCTTTGAATACAGCTTATACCCACATTTTCATAATCTTCATTAAAAATAGGCTAATTTTTTCACATACCAAAGATGTTAGACTGTTGAAAGAAGACAATCCTCTCAGTTGTTAGATTTTCCTTTAGACCCCTGTACTTCTTAGTCATTTCTGAAGGCAGTAAAAACTATTAGACAGCCACAATATTTTCTGTTTGGGACATGCAATATTGTAGATATACTTTATATGTTACCATTAGGAGGCGCTAGATAAAACCTAATAATTAAAATGGAGCTTCAGTTGAGGTGCTTACCAATTTTATTTGCATCATCAATGGTTCAAAAGCAAACTTTACATGTAGTTTTGGAAGGGCAGCCAAACAAAAACTCCACACCACAGAATTATCAAGGCAGGGCTCCTCTATGTGGTAGCTTTAGGGGCTCAAATGTTTTGCCAATAAATGCACCTCTAGTTGTCCACACCATAAAAGCTGCCAACATCAGCTGCTCCATATTGCTTCATTAGGTCAGTCTTTCATGGCACAGAGCCAGTAATAGGCATCCTCCTGGGAGCAGTTTGCAGTTGCTTAGCATGAGGAACAGTAATGTCATGCTCCCAACCTACATTATGGTTACCTTCTGGCTTGGAGAGGGAAAGAAATTGGAGAGGTCCACAGAGACCAAATTTGTCAATGTCACAAAATAAGCAATTAATTGCGGGCTTCATGGAGAGCTCAGAGCTAACCATGGTTCCTTCGTAGTCATTTACACACCATGGGTTAATTTCTGTACACTGTCAACTCTGTGACACAGTTACAACAGTCTCTCCTGTTTCCTGTAGGCAGCAGTGAATCATACTAGTAAATGAACACTTACTTCTAGGTATATTTCTCTTGTATCCCAGAGCAGTTTTCACAAGCTTCGAAATGACAATCAAGTTGAAAATAGAGAAAGAATGAAGCCAGGCTGTAACTGTAGTAACATTCGTGATACTGATAGCTGCTGCAGAGTAATCCTTTCCTAAAAGGGAAAAGTAGAATGAGGCTAAAGCTAGAATGTACTTGCCCCATATCTCATCACAAAGCTCCTCCTTGCAGGATTTCTGTCCCTCAAACTATGTGCATCATGGATACCCAGGTACTGTGTTTCATTTCTACAATGCAGTCCTAAGGAAAACCCCTATCTAACTGTCTTGTGACAGAGACTGGGAAGGAAGCCTTGCTCAGACCAACACCTCTAGGAAATTAGCAGCCCTTTTTATCTCAGATTCTACACTATGCTGTTTTATCTACTTATCACTAGAAGGATGAGGATGACTCTAGATCTGGTCATCACCCTGTGCTTATTGTTATCAGGGGAATTACTATGGAGGCAGGAGCTGTTCTTCTGGGTAAGCACTGTATTGCTGCTATAGAAGTCAGATGATATCAATAGAAAAAGCAGGCCAGGTTCTTGCCTGTTCTGCAATGGTTTTATAGAGGCAGGCTATGTGAGGGATTAATAAAGCATCACAGATAGTTACAGACTCTGCCACAGTTCCTCTAGGGTATGTGTTGTGGCTGCTGCAGCTTCAAGAAGAGGCAGGCTGCCTGGGAGGTGCTGTGGATGTTACTGCAAGAGACATTAGTCCTTGGGTTTGCCCCTAGAGACTGTGATGGGACATGTATCAGAACACTAATCCCACATGGTAGGATGACATACTGATTAGAGTGTTGAGTCAGAATGGAAGTGGAAAAATGGTGAGGTGAGGAGGTGTCTTTATACATTGCTTTCCAAAAGACCTGTCTCTTCCTTCCATTTTACAGCACTGGCTAAATTTATTGTCTCTAAGATCTAGTGTCAAAACTTGAATTTTCTCTGGAAAAATAAAGTTACACTTACAGAAATCAGAACATCATTAAATCCATCTAATTTATTTCATGATGTTCTGATTTAATGATTTTCTGATCCAGTTTGTGTAGCACTTGGGGCACCAGTTAAAAGCAACAAAAAACGGGTATTTGGAGCATTGTATGCATAGAAATTTCTGTAAGTAGACAGGAAAACAGAGGAAATATATCCATCAGTTTACCATGGAGATTGTTTTTAAACAGACTTTATAAGCATAGCTCACTATAGAAAACTGCCCTATTATCTGTAATATTTTAAGGGAAATTGAGAACATTTGTGAGGGTTGCTGTATGATTGATCAATGCCCAGTTGGTAGATCAAATTTACGAAGGTTTTTGCTTTTCAGTTTCTAGTAGGTGTGTGTCATCTTAAGTCTCTTCTTATGCAAGACCTGGTTGCTGGTTTGTTCACCCCATTAACAATTTTAGTCAATATTGACATCCGGTTTGAGGGTTGTTTTAAATTGTAGGCAAAAAAGTATTTAGCTATTGCTCTGCGTAAGTTAGGTCAAGACACCTTGCAGCTGACATCACTATTCAATAGAATTCCTTTTGGAGATACTGTTGTATAATTTCAAATCAAATTGTAGCTAATCTCTTGCCTTTTCAATCTTTAGAGCTATTTTATCTTTCCAGTATTTTTGGCTGGATCCCTGGACAGTTGTCAGGCTATAAAATTTTACCAAATTAACTCACATAATATGTCTGTAAGGTGTCAGTGTCTTTTTTTAGTGTATTTCTTTTTTAGCATAATATAGTTTTACCTAGGCTTTGTTTATATTCCAAAGAAGGAGATGTAAGTCAGCTTCAGAAATCACAGTCATCCTTTTTGTGAGCTCATGTGCAATATCTAGACTTTTATGAAGTCATATTGCCTGACAGTATATTGAATATTTTAAAATAAAAAATAGCTGTAGAAAATAAAAACCAAGGAACAAAATGGTCATTTACAGTCCTCTGTGCTTACAAAATATTTTAAAAGCTAATGTTTCCTTACTGCAGTTTGCAGCTTCTACACGCTGTTGTGTCTAAACAGTACAGTCTAGTGACTCAAGACTGACACAGAGGGAGCGCAAGAACTGCCCCATAATGAAAGAAAGATTCAATATTTTTGTTCTTAGTGCGCTCATGAAAACATGTGTGGCATATTATTATGTTTCTAACATTATTATAACGTTTCTAAAGCAAATATGAAATATACCCCCCCCCCCCCAATTAAAGTCGTGTCCTTTCAGCAGAAAGAACATCAAAATATAAGTCACAGGAAACAAGGAGAGAGTTGGCTGTCTCATGTGTGCTTTAGAGAAATGTGTTTTCATTCCATGAGCTCAGGGGAAATACAGGATAGTTGGATGGCTAATGTAAAATGGATATTTGCCCTTGTTTGAAATAAATAGGAAATATTTTTATTTCAGGAGAACACTCATATATATCCTTCCTTAGAAAGTTATTTGTAAGGCCATGAAAAAGTTAAAGAGAAAAGCACAGGTAGTAATAAACACTAATAATATATGTACCCAGTAATATATAGTCAGATGCATATTTTGATACCAGAAAAAGTGATTACTTTTAATACTGAGGTCACACCAAATAATCAAGCTTGCACTTACAAGCTATTGTAAACTATGTGTGTGGTATCACCACAGAAAGTTCTGTCTTTTCTAGTATCTGTTTAAAGAAGGTTCCCTTGAGAGAGACAAACATTTTGCAAAGGCTAATGGTTACAAATACTGATGGTAACAGACAAATATACAGCACCATTCTCTCAGTGACCCCAGTGCATGTCTGTTTCTGTTGAAAAGGACCTAACAGGGATCTAGGTGAAAAAAGAAAACTCAGTAAAAGGTGTTAGCTGGGATTCAGTCACCTGAATGCAGCAAAGCCTGGACTCACACTGGCTCATGTTTAGCCTACTGTCAGCCAGAACCTCCAGGTCCTCCTCAGCTTAGGTGCTGGATTTTGCACATGTCGTTGCCAAATTTCCCAGCCTTCCTCCAGCCTACAGAGGCTCCTCTTAGTTGCCTTCACCTCAAGTATACTCAGTACAGCTGAACTTAATGAGAGCACATTCCATCACTTCAGCCAGGTCTTTGATATTAAACAGCTGAACAGGAAGAGGACTCAGGAGAGACTTCTGCAGAAGTCTACTTGTAGCCAACCACTGGGCAGTGTCTCTCAACCCAGTCAATGGTCCAGCCAGGTTTTCACTCATTGAGTGTTACACACATCCAGCCTAGATACAAAGAATACTATTGGAGACAGTGACTGAAAACTTGCTAAAGTCAATGTCAACAACATACACTATTAAATCTACAGATCCTGTAATTTCTTCAGAATTTTCACATTTGGTAGCTAGAAAATTATAGAAGCATTTATTCATGAATCATTTTGTCACAAGCTAAAGGATAAAATGTATTCTAAAGAAAAGAGTATAAAATCTCTTCCTTCGTCCAAATAGTTACCTTAGTTCAGAAAAATCCAAAGTAGAAAGATGTGTTTAACCTCAGGAAGGTATTTTGGGAAATGCTAGAAGGGAAACATTTAGATATTCTGATTTTCATTACATGGAGAAATGTCATATAACACTTCTCTTCCTGAAGTCTGTGACCTTATGGGCAGGATATAGCCATTGAAGGGGATTCCTGACTTGTTCAATAGAAACATATTTATGAACAGTAGCTATGAATGATCTTTATGACTCAGATCTTATTTGATGCATTAGAATTAAAATGATTTTTTTCATAGGTGCTCATCTGTTTCTTCCCCCTAGTATATGAGAACTTGGCAAATATTTGAATGTTTGTTTTTATCACACTTGTGGATGATTAGGGTATTCAATTGCCTCAAATTTACAGCTGGGAACTAAAGCAGAAAAAAATCCCAAGATCAAAATTGACAAGTAGGTCACGTATATTTTATGTCTAACATTGAACACAGTCCCTATTTTCCCAAGAGTATTTGACATGACACAGCATCATGCTCAGAAGATAGCTGAACGTTGGTTTGAATTGTAACAGCGAGTTCTTAGCACATCTACAAATCTATGCTCAAGAGTCTGAAATTAGAAACTAGTGGAGAAAATTGCAGACCCGCTTGACATTCAGCTGTTAATGTTTTGGTGTACGTAATTTGCCAATATTGCTTTGAAACTATGTAATAATGGCAGGTTTAGATTCTGAATCATCAGTCTAGTGTCCAGCTTTTTGTCCATGTACAATTCTTTCTTACAATGATACAATTCCCAGCTTCTCTATTGGGTGAGATGGAGGTTCTGTAAGAAATTAACTCATTTTCTGCATAAGTTTTATTTGCTGCCAGAATACTATCTGGATTGTGCCATGAATACTTAGCCACTGGTATCAACTTGGAATGCTAGTATCAACTCCGCCTGTATAAATTATCATAATGAATCTGGAAAAGCATGTATGTTTCTGTGCTTGTAAATCACCTTGCACCCACATCCTGAGCTGGATGCTCAGGAGGTATCAATAAATATTAATGATTTGGAAAATTGGATGAATTTGTCTATATCCAGGATAAAATATTACTCTAGGTAAATATGAATGTGGTATCAAAGTATTTCTCCCTTAAGCTTCAGATATATTTCTTGGTAAGAAATCCTGAATTATAAAAGGCTATTTCCAGGTTTCTCTGGAAAAGGATGCACTGAAATCAACTAGGTAAAAAGAAAGAAAGAAAGCTAGATTAGGTACTTTAGTTAGCAGAAAGGTGGATAGTTTTGAATTTTGTCAGAACTGCCATGCATTTAACAAACTGGGATTCTCCCTGACATCCTTTGCCTTGATGCCACAACTAACACTAACCTCTAATACCTCTCAGTAACTGAAATATCTTTTTGTTTATCTGATTTATGCTTTCTGGGCACTCTGAGTTTACAGTTAAGTTTCCAGGGGCATATGCCGCACACAGCTTTGGGCAAGTTCTGTAAATATATTATTGAATAAATCCTTACATGGATGGGACAAAATATTGTATCTGTGGGTGTAGACTTGGACAAAGATATGAACCCCTCCTCACAGTTCTCAGCCCTGTGTTTATTGTCATTGGGGAACAGCTCTTAGAGCTCAGGCTCTTCTATTCATGTCTTTTGCCTATTGCCCTGCTCATTTCAACTTGTCTTTCTTTGAACTTGACTTGTTCAGCAATTAGATAGAGCCTGTCTCCTACAAATACAGTAGGTATCTCTCTCCTGTCTGCCACTTCCACCTTGTTCTGGTTCCTTGAAAAGTTTGGGCTTTGTGTTTTTTTTTTAACCAGTTCTTTTTCATCTTTGTATGTGTCCTATTTAGGCTTACTCTATATTCTTCTCTGTTTGGAGAAGTGTGAACTCGTATTTCTGCAAAAGAAACTGATTATATTTGAGTGGGTGATTGTTAGCTCAAAACCAGCCTACTGTTAACTTGATCTGATGGAGTACAACCCATGTCAGCTAACGTTAATCGCTCTGTATCCCATGGTTATTGTCAATGACATAGAAATGTATTGTCGTCAACCAGACTTGTAAGTTAAGCATCTAGATTCTCTGCCCATGTAAGCAGTAGTGTATATATAAAGAAAGCTTTTTTTAAACACTGCATTTCACACTCAGTCAGGAAGGTAAAGAGCAAGTATATCATGTTCAACATAGACTGATCACATAACGTGACAGAAGTTTTCTAGGTAGGAATATACATTACTCTTAATAGTGGTGAACCTTATCAGTATCCAAATTCTATGCTCAGTTTACTTTTAAAGCAATTTTAGTCAATGGTCATTGATGCCAGCCCAGATCTCTGGTGTATGCAAACTTGGCATCATTTGCCAGTATTTTTCCATCCTTTGCTGTAATTACCTTCTCTGGATAGTTGACCAATATTTAAATTATTGTAATTTTGAAGGAGTTCATCCTAATGATATCTCCTGCCTTCATTTAGTAGGCAGCTGTTACATGCTATGTGGAGTGAGTGCTCATTTTCAGTAAAATATTCTAAAATCTTGCGAAGAGTATCATACGAATTGTAGAAAAAAATCTTCTTAGTAAAAATTTCCAGATAGGTAGTTTGTCTTTTCAAGAAAAAGCCAATTATTTGAAAAGGATTATGTAAATGTTCAGCTTTGTAACCTTCTACACCAATATTTCATTGATATTAAACCTCCACTGTACAATTATGCCATGATGGAGCAGATAACATATTAAGAAGCAGGTAACATTTTTGCTGAGATACAGCATGTATATTTAATAGATTAAATTTCAGTTTGTGTTAACATCCTGGCCATCTGGGAGGTTCTATCTTTTTTTCACATCTGGGACTGAGTATGCTTTTCTTTTTTTCTTTTTTTTTCTCAGTATTTTGCAGGAAGTAGGAAAATTGGTGTTATAAAAAGTGTGACACAGAAACAGGTGGGAGCAATAGTGCCTGTCTGAAAATTACATGTTACAATAAAGCCTCCTGCAGTGCTTAAGAACTTTCCCTTCAGTGTTCTGTAAAATGATCGCATTGCCTAATAGGCTCAATTCAATAATTGCTTTTCCTCTTTTTTAAGTGTCCCTTTTCTGCAGTGTTTACACATAAAATGGTGCAAAAAGTACAGTATGAAAAACAACTAAATGCAGCAATTTTAGTGCTCTTTAAATACATTTTGCATGTGTATGCCTTTCAAAATCATTTTTTTCCTTGCTCTCAGGTGAGAACACATTCTAAAATAAGAAAGACCCATGGAATAAAATAATAGATAAAAATTGAAATGCAGCATGGGTAATTCTAATTCGTGTGCTGGCCTGGAAGCTAAAATATGAAAAGAAAGGTTTTGGAAGAGGGATATCGTGCTCTGTCTTTTAGATACTTGAGTTTCCACAGATAAGGGATTAGCTACACATATAGGTAAAATTACAATTCTTGATTCAACCATTAGCAGTAGAACACAAGAAGATAACATAGTATAACTCCTTCAGTGCAGATCATTCTCATGGTATTTACTCTGTCACACAATTACAGACAGAAAATTTGTTCTCTGTATAGCAGATATGATCTGGAACACCCAGTGTCATGGAGAACATCAGGTCATTGCATATCTGCATATATACACCATAGTACCCTGAGAACATGTACATGCTTTGAGCTAACAAGGTAAAACAACAGGGCAAGAAGTATGCATTTAAAGAACAGCATAATAAAAGCACCTTAAAATCAAATTAGGATTTCATAATCTTTTTTTTGTTTGTTTCTTCTTTGTATTTGGTGTCCTTTCACTCAAAAACTCACATCTCCTGTTCTGAAGACATAACCTCTTGTTATGAAGTTGGACACTGATTTTGGAATTGCTAGCTTTTCCCTCCTTGAGAACAGATTGTGCTGTTTCTTTCTCCACTGTTACTTTACTTGTTTTAGTTCATTATTTTCAGCACAAAAATAACTTTTATTTTTCACCCTTCCCTTCATTTTGGGACTATGTTAGATATGTTTTTTCTAATTTTATTTTTTGCCCTATTTTTAAAGTACCTAAAACAGGGAGAAGCAGATTTCTATGAGTTGGTCTATTATGCATCAATTCTGTACATTTACTATGATCTCAGGCTGTTTGTGTGCAGAAGTAAAGCTCAGAGAGCAACCATTTTTTAAAATCACTGAATCACTATGCAGGGGATGGTATTGGCCTGTTCACCAGTCATTGCAAAGTTGAGGCTCATGTACAATTAATGTGCAAATGAGGTGCAGAAAACAAACACTGGAAGAAAGGGTTTAATCGACAGACTCAAGTGTAACCTTCTGCCTGGTCATCTTCCTCCAGAATCAAAATTTCTCAGTCCGTGTGCAAATTTTAAAAGGGGTATAAATGGAGTGAGTATGTGAGGATATACAACAGGGTCAGTTGGCACACTTCTGGAATGGCTCTCCTACATGTGAAAAGGCAAAGACACAGGTCAGTCATGGGTTTTTTTTTAAGTGAGCACTAGACTGTCCCTGCACTATTCTACCTAATACTGCACTAGTACTCAGATTGCACTTGCAGCAGAGACACACATTCAGTAAATTCAGTGCTTACTTCCATCATTTTCTATAACCGTACCGGCGATTTTCCTTTCCTCACAAAGCTGAGGTCATAGTCAAAATGAAATCTTCAATGCTTAATA